GGCGTCAAATTTCCATGGAAGTCGCCTATACCCACGATGGGTGAAGAGGCGTCAAGTACAAGTATATAAAAATAATTTTAAATAACACAAATTGAGATCAGACAAATACTGTTTTCAAGTTATCCCATCAGTGGTGCTAAAAGGGTTTGATGGAAGCTTAGCTATGATGAGAGAATGTGAGATAACCTCAGACCTGAAGACAGAATACTGGATTCCCTCCCTAAAGATTTATGCAGCCACCATTCATTGACCATAAACCAAGATTATTACAATTCAACGAGCATATAGTTGATGTTCTGGCTGTCTCGTAGTTCTAAGGCTTCCTTTGGAGTGACCTGGGATCACGTAGCATATCATGTGAAATTTGAGTCAAGTTTACACTACTCGATATAACCAAAGGTGGAATTAAGTACAAAGCCAACTGACCTGGTTGGTTTTCCAGTATCCGACAATCTGAACTGCGCTGAAATTCGCCACTTAAGTGCCAACTAAATTCTTGACTAAAAGGGCAGTAGTCAGCAATTTCAACCGACCCACCATAGTGAGGCAAATCTTTTGGCAATACACCATACAGACTATCAAAATACTGTAAAGAAAAAAGAGTTGCAGATATGATTGTCAGAGCAAGGAAAAGTTAAATTACAGTAACAGCTTTTGGTGATAGCTACATCTATATTACTAATGGAGAAATTATATTCCCATGCAGCAGCTTCAAATGAAAGGAAACTAGATAATATGCAATTGTTACTAGAATTAAATCTGTCTCGGGATATACTATTTTAATAGTTAACAGCTGTTGACAAATACATTGTATTTAAAAGTGCAATTAAACAGTAACAGCTGTTCACAAATATTGTATTTAAAAATGCAATTAAAAATACAAAAAAGAACAAAAACATTTTAAAATGTAACATACACCTAAGAAATACATTGTTATAGTACCAAAACAGAAAAAAACCCAGAGTCAGATAAATTCCCCCAAAAGTAATATATTGAATTGATATATGTATTTAACAATATACCAAATTATATATAAAAATTCCTTATTCTTATTGAATAGAATGTAATCTTTGCTAAAGGGGAACATATTGTGTCATATGATTAGTAGATAAAATTATCTTTTTCCAAATTATGTGTTGTGACATATAAGCTTGTGCTGCAAGCTTATACTTCGGAAGTGACAATTTGTTTAGTGTCATCCTATTAAAACATTTTCAAGAAAAATTTCAAAAGTATAACATTAAATCTATATACAGTTGTACAGCGAGAATATTTTTACAATACCATACAGTGCTCCAGCTCAGTTTGCCCAGTCTGTAACTATATGCCTGCTTATTGTGAAATACATCTATAACTATGCTACTTTCAGCAATAATTATTTTAGCAAGGCTATTACACCTGTGTTTTACCTCTGGCAGTGATATGCAGTCTGAGGCTTATGGATTAAACATAGCCCCAGAGCACTGAGACTTGACTACTGAAATTCAAAATGTCCTCATTTCACTTGTCCAAATTTAAATTGTTTCCTACAACTAAAGTGGAATAAAGGTTGAAATAAGTTTCCCTATTCCATTTTTTACTTTAAATCTTTTAAAATCGCCCCAAATCAAGATGTAATATTGAAATCTAAATGGTAATATTGATTTAAAAAATTCTTTCTTTTCTCAATATTAAAAGCAAACTAAATAATTAACTTTAAACACATTATAGAAAAAAGTGTATTGAAACAACACAATGCACTAAGATTTATAACATCATAAATAGGGGAGGAAAGAAATATTTCTACCTCTTCCAGTAATATTATTGTGTCACCCAATGATCTGCCAGAGCCCTCCAAAAGTTCGAGAGGCTGAGCTACCCATCCCTCATCTCACAATCATGTATTGCATTAAAGTGTGTATTGTTTAGTTACGGTTTGTTGAATAAGAATGAACAAGTGAATTCCTATCACAGGATAAGCGAAACCTGACAAACCAAATGTATTCAAATATAATTCTAATCATGCTTGATAGTTCCTACCTTATCTCTCTATTACTGCTGGAGCTACAATGATCCTTCCATAGCTGGCTGCTCTTTAGATAAGATTAACTTCTATTTAAATGCAGTTTATCTTTAATAAGATTAAAAGCTAATTAATGAAATACATCTGGTGCAGTGGTTAAACAATCAGGCTGGGATACGATGACTGCTAATCTTGCCTTAGGCACACAGCCAGCTGGGTAAACGTGGGCCAGTTCCTCTCTCTTCAGGTGTAAGAAGAGGCAAAGGCAAACCCTTCTGAAAATCCTGGCCAAGAAAACTGCAGGGACTTATTTAGGCAGTCTCTTAGAATTGGATATGATTGAATGGGGAAAAAAAGTAACATTGAAATTGTTAACCCAATATTAAGATGCATGTAAACTTTCCTTCAAGTAAAATTATACATGTTTCAATTCCTTTTAAGTTCAAAAGAAGTAAGTTGGATTCATTAAAAAACACTGATCTAAACTCTTTTTTCTGCTATGCTGGAAGAGCAGCCAAGAGGAATGAAGACAAAGGATGCTTTCATAATATTACAAGACACCCTTGTAATATTAAACTTGGATTCACACAAACATGGTGAATGAGGATGCATGGCTTTTCACAATGTTTAAACCTAATCAATTACAGTTTGTAACAGGAGAAGGTACTCGTTATGACTTACTATTACATTTTGCCTTCCTGCTCTGTGAAGCAGCCAGGTATCTTGCTGGGAAGTTTTATTTCCTAATTTGGGGATTCAGGTAGTTTTAAGAGGCAAAACGAGTAATCTAAGTCTTGCAGAACCTTAAAGCATCTATCCTGCCTCTTAAACCCTTCTCCACTAGACAGAATCAGTGCAACTATAAGCAGGGATGGTATTCATTTACCTTCTCTATCGCTTCACAAATGTGAGCACAGCTGCCTCCTCCGCGCATGTGCACAGCTTTCTGCACATGTGCTTTTGGAGAAAAAAGGGCCTAAATGGGATGCTATAGAAATGGGGTGGGTGGGCGGGGCCACCCGCAATTTCCACTATCGGTTCGGGTGAACTGATCCGAACCAGAATACCACCTCTGATTATAAGTATACAAAAGGGTACTAGGGATGCTTTAAGTCCTTGCAATGATAAAACCAAAGTAGTTATCACCTAATACAGTGGTTCTCAACCTTCCCAATGCCGCGACCCTTTAATACAGTTCCTCATGTTGTGGTGACCCCCAACCATAAAATTGGTGTCTTGGTTCCTAAGACCATTGAAAATACGTGTTTTCCGATGGATTTAGGTGACCCGTGAAAGGGTCGTTCGACCCCCAAAGGGGTCCCGACGCACAGATTGAGAACCACTGACCTAATACATAAACCCTGGCATAGCGCATTGCATGAATTTGCCTTTGGTTTAACATTGCTTCTGAATAAGGTTATCAATTCAGAAGAATGAGACATACTTATGTTTCATGTGTTATACAACATACCTGATACTCCTGAGGCAATGGTTGAGGGAATTTCTGTAAATTGCACACTGCTACCGCTCTTTGGTCCTGCCTGCATGTTAATTGTAATGGATTACTTCTCAGAGTGTCACAATAGGGGGCTACTGGTTCTTTTCTTAAGATTAAAAACAGAACAGCAGTTAACATGTTATATATATGCTTCGGTGTATTAATAAACACTACTCATTATTCACAATAGTGCAAGGACAATTTCAGGGCCATCAATAAACAAAAAGTTCATATATATTATTCTTACTTTCTCTGTTGCTGATTGATCCAATACTTGCAGCTTTTCATCACAAAGTCGCATCCTTTTCCTCGGCCCCATTCTAGTTTTTCTGCCATGCTATAATTCACTTTATACCAGCTGCAAAAATAACAAGTGGAAATGGAAATGATTCTTTAGAGTCCAACGTTCTGAACCATTAACAACAAAGAATCAACATATTAATAATCTTAGGAATTATTAGGTTGTAAAGAAGACATCTCTGTTATGTTGCCCAAGATTCCTGGTCCTCCTTCCCAATACTTTAGCTTATTCATTAAGATATACTCTAATAAGCAAATGACAAATATGATTTGTCTGGTTTTTGGGGCTATAAACCAAGAGTCCCCAACCCCTGGTCCGTGGCCCAATACCGGGTTGCAGCCCCTTCAGAACCAGTCATGAAGGTGGTGGGGGAGTGCATGTGCAAGTAAAGCTGCATTTGTGAAAGCAGTGCACTTACACGGAAACCATCTCCTCTCAACCCCCATCCTGTTGCTGCCCCTTCCATAGGCCCACTCAGCTGGAAAGATTGCTGCTATAAAGCATTGGGAATATGTTGCAACAGACAGCACGAAATCCACCATAAACACCATTCAAATCTATCTGACTAGGCACCTATCCACCAGCTTGCTGCTATTCTCTTCCATGTCTTTTTATGCATTTCCAACAGTGCAGGGAAATCTATGACAATTATGGCCTGTTAGGAAGTATCTTCTACTGTCCACTTACAAGAACTTTGCAACACTTTGGAAGTAATTTAGAAAGCACCACACTGTTGTTTAAATAATATTATATAACTACAATGTATCTTTTATTACCCAGTGTCTTCCATTAATGCCAGAGTAATCCGGGAGAAGACCCTGTTCTGTGTTTGTGATCCAGTCATTGCTTCATTCTGGAATTAACCAACATCAATAATAGTTAGCGGCAGTAAAGCAACCAAACAGAGAAACAAACCAGCATTTTGTGAGAAGCAAACAAGTAGGAGAGAAAAATAATATTTTTGCCAATAGGGAAGCATATTTCATTACATTAATAATCACAGATAAATTAGGAGTTTCTCTTGGGATGTCAGGGAGCTATCTATAAATTACATGCAGGATTATTTTCTTATAATAAGAAATAGAGCAATAGGGTAGCTAAATGGAAGAATGGAGAATCTAAATTTACTGTAACTGATACTGTGAATGTTTCTAAATTATAAAATATAAATGAACTTTCATTCCTGGCCTGGCATCTTGAAAAGATACCTCAATCTATTCTTCATATACTAAACAGCTAATTTTGTATTATCTACAGACTAATATAGCATTCTTCTCTCCATCTTCAAAATAAATGAATTAAGTAAGTCCAGATATGTAGGAAAAGAGTATAATAGGTGGCTTTTAGTTTTTAGTTAATAATATATACCTGGATTCATTCTGGCTGTACTGATCAATAAAAAAATCATTCTAAATATCCTTGAGTTGCTCTATTATTACTTACTAGGGACAAACCGGTTGAGATTTCACAGGCCAAATTTCATGCTGGAACAACCCTATGTATATCTATATATTAATTGACTATACTAACCTCTAATAACCGTTTCTCCCAATGATTAAGCTCTGTGCCTATGCCACCTTGATTTTCCAGTTCCATTCCTTCTAAATTTGGACAGTCAAAGTGTTTTCTTGCCTCCTCCTTCAGAAAGGTATTAAGACAAATCTCAACATTATTTCGAAATAACAACTGCTTTATTTTACACACAAAGTTTACATTATATTTATCTAACAAATATTTTTAATGAGAGAACCCTAAGATGCTTTCATACTTTCTTGAAGTCAAGAAATTTCATTTTAAATTTTCTGTGACAGATCACACTACCTCAACCCCTGCAGTACATTATTATGGGACATCTACCAATGACTCAAATTCTTTAAATTATTACAAATTACAGAGAGCAGGAAAAAACATAAATATTTTAATAATATAAGCACAATTGGATCCTTCAAGAATTCCCCATAAAGTGGAAGAAGCAGCAATAGTGTGGTACCCAGCATTGGAAGTGGAATAATTTTCCCACAACCTTTTTTTCACACATATCAGTGTATGGTAATTTGGATGTTCATCAATTTAACTCCCAGGAGCCCTAGGAAGCAGAATGCCATAAGGGTTGCTGGCCGAACTAAATGAACACCTAAAAGATTGACGAATTTGCTTGTTCTGCTATAGAGAATTGAGGAGGGCAGAGTTTAGAGGCATTATAATTCTTCCAGATTCTGTGGCAGCATTTGAAGGACTTTGCGGGGGTTTGGAGAATAAGCATCTGTAGGTACAGTATATTTCCTGGTTAATCTTGTTATTAAGAGACCCCCAGGAATTGATTTCCAAGGTAAACTGATTTTGAAAGTAAATTGAGAAAACATTTTTGTCAGAGATTAAGTAGCAGGGCTGAATCTTAACATGTTGAACATGGCTTCCATCACTATTTGCCACTATGGGTCTAGACAACCAGTTCAGATTTTTGTGAAAGAAAATAAAAATAATACTTACAACTACTTTAGGAGTTACCAAAAGGAATATATTATGAGGCAAAATGTTATTATCCCGCACATCCCATAATCTTACTGCTTTACGTATAACTTTATCACTCCACTGATACACACCAAGGCTGAAAGGAAGACAATTCAGTTGTTACAACTGGGAAGTAGGATCAGTTCTCAATATGATCAATAAGCTGTCTCAACTATTGAATATATGAGTAAAGTAGCAAATGTATCTTCAAGACAACTGACTTCCAATGCAACTACCACTAAAAACTAGGAAGCAGTTATGCTATTTGCATAATAACTATTTTTAATCATACCCACAAGTACTGTTCAGTGAAATCAGTTTTGTAAAAATTTCAAAAGTCAGTATATACCTTTCATTAAATAGTGGCAATCCATTTGCGTATCTAGCAGTCAAAGGATTTCCATCGTCATCATGATAAAATGCAAAAAGTCCAGCAGAGAAACCCTTAAATAGAACCCAAAAGTATTTTACGTCATGTTTAACCCAAACAACTGACAGAAAATTGCTAGGAAGAGAGGAAGAAAGACGCAAGCTCACACCAAGGTAGTCCTCAATTAATGACCATAATTGTGACCTGTAACTGCATCACTAATGACATGACTAGTACACAAGGTATCACATGACTGCATCAGACTTATAACCTCACTTTTGCCATTGTCATTAAATGACTTATCAGCAATCATTAAGCAAGGACCACATGTGACCACAATATGCAACTTTATTGACAGCTTCTTTATTGACATACTTGTCAGAAGTTGGCTCTGAAGCACACAAATGGCAACCACATGACTGTGGAACACAGTGGCAGTCATAAATATGAGGATCGGTCATAAATTTGCATTTTCAGCAAGTTGTAACTTTGAATAATCATTAAACAGGGCAGTCATTAAACAAGGATTACCTATGTATGAAATATTCACAAAAACACAACCAAACACAACCATAAATTCTAGCATAGTATAGCATGAAAAAAATGACTAACATGTTAAATTCCAAACCAAGCATTAGGGCAATGCCTCATTTAGCCAATCTCAAAGATAAGACTTTTGGGGAAAAAATGGTGAATGAGAAAAGATATAAATAGAAGTTGGGGAATTGGCCAGGATAAAAAAAAAATGCTAACAATATTGAAGCTTAAATGTTTATAAACTCTCTTGATTTTTCATCTTTTTCCTCTGGTGAACTACCACCATCTTTTCTCCCTCCTCACCTTTTAATAGTGTGTCTACTATAAAGACCTAGAGATTATGATCTCGTATGTTTTATAGGATTTTTGAACCCTAATACAAATTTTTATAATTTTTTTAGAAATCGTTTTAATGGATTTTTAAAAAAACATAGCATCAAATACCAGCTCTTACCAAAGCATGAATGATTTCATGTTTTACTGTAGACAACATGCCAATAAACTCTTGTGGTTGGGTTGAAATCATATTTGGACACAGATTAGCATATCCTGCAATTGGTCTGGGAAAAATGGTGACACATTATGCAAAAAGAAGAACTTAAAAATATTAAACTTCATTATTACATGTAAATACTTCATATTATCATAGCCTACAAATGTGTTATATACAAAAATGTCCCTGGAGTAACTTTTTCTCCTGTAAACATTAAATCTGTGGAATGTAAACTCAGAAAAAAAATGTTCTCTCTCAATTAGTGGTACTTATGCACGGACAACTATAGTATCTGTACAGATTTCACCTATGGAGTTTCCTATCAAATATCATCCCCCCCCCCCCCCTTAAGCTCACTTGAGATACTCTTTTCTGTGCTGAGAAAAAACTCGGTACTGATCATATAACTAGCAGCAGAGGCCATACAGAAGTAAGTGATTCTCGTATTTGGGGTTTTCTCAGTCATGGATAGTCTACGATCCTGAGATGATGAATCTTATGTAAAACATTTCTCACTTCAGACTACAGATCTTTCATAATTAATGTGATAATATCATGTCTTTCCTCAAGAAGCTTTGTTTTCACACACTTGTTTTTTATTTATTTTTCTCATAGCAACTCAGTGATGATAGGGGGAAGCCCAAGTGCAAGACCACAATCTTATCACTGGGCCTTAAACTTTTTGGTCTGTGGGAGTCTTTAAATATGAACATTATATAGGTGCTTTAGCAACAGAGTTACCATAACTAAATTGATAGTTTGTGGGATATATAAAGCTAACTGAATATAGCCTCTCACCTTGCATAAAAGTCTATCACTTTTGTCCTTTTCTAGACAGATGAGCATATTTCTAAATAAAGCCTGTGTTGCAGCCAACTATTATGTATACAGTATCCATCGGAGGGCCAGCAGATTCTGGAATAAAAGTTGGTCTACCGTTGTTGTTTTTTTAAATATAAAAACAAACAAACCCCCAAGTGGGATGGGAAGCATGGGAGATTCTACAGGCCAACTGCCTCCCCCCCTCCCGGAGGGCACCACAAGGGGAACCACTGTGGCATAAAATGTGACTTCCTATGAAAGCTTTCAGATCATAGGAGGGATATCATTCTCCTATTACTCTCACATGGGGAAAAACTCAGCCAGCAGGACTCACTTGGAATCCTGTTTCCTGCTGCTCTCTTCACTGAAGGTTCTGTGTGACCTTTCCTGCAGTGTAATCACAGAACAATGCATTATCAACTGAAGATCAGCAGGGAAGAAGTGAGTGGGGTAGGATATTTATATCTTTCTGATTCCTTGGCTACATCATCCAGCCTTCTCTCTCTCACTGCTCAAAACAGAATGCATGCAGATAAATCTTCACTGGAAAGACTTGAGACCTGTAGCTCCCCACAGTCCACCTCTTGAACCATACTTTCTGAGATTGGGAAACAATGACTTTGGGGAAAATAGCCAGTTGTGACAACTAGTTGTGACGTCTACTGACAGATCATTCACTATCCTTGTCCAACCAGATGGTAAATGTCTTTTCAGAAAATTTCAGCTGATTGTTCATCAATTTAAAGTTAGCTTGGAGATTACCTGTCCATATCTGCTTCTAGCTGACAATATGCTGCATATGCGATAATGTTTTCTTGGCCACATCTTTCAGTAGTCAGAGCACTAACATACAGTATAAAATCAGCATCTCGAATGCCTTCTTTGTCTGCTTCGCCAATAGTTTGACAATTCCGTCCATTCGTATTACATACCCTACATTGCTAAGACATTACATTTCAAGAAATCAGTGTCAAATAATCTTCAAATATTTATTTATTTAAATTATATCCTGCCTTTATTAGGCAAGGAACATACTTCATTCTCCTTCCTGTTTCTATTTTCCCCACAACAATCACCTTGTGGGGTGGATTGGGATGAAAGCGAGATTGATTGGTCCAAAGTCACCCAGTAGGGTTTCATGCCTAAGGTAGGAGTAGAACATTTGGACTTCTAACCTGATGCTTTCACTGCTACATCAAACTGGTTTGTCTCTTTTAACTATAAAACGTATATATTCCCTGCTTTTCTTTCTTAGCCTGAAGAAACATTTGAATTAAGATTCTATTCTAATCATTTGTAAAGTTTTATACTACTGCTTGTGGCAAAGAAAGAGTTTGAAAAGACCCAAAATTCATAAAGAAATTTGAAAAAGAAGGAATGTAATATTCAAATAGTTTTATTATCTTTTTTTCTAGGTTTCTGAAAATTAAAAATTTTCAGATGTCATAACACAACTGTCTTACATCAGGCAAATGAAATTGATATATGTGCTTTAACATTTTTCTTAACAAATTTTGCTAATTAGAAGGAAATGTGGTGGTTACTATATTTGCATGTTTTGTTGTATAACTATTCCTGTATGATCTGAGCTACAAACCATAAATAAGGCTGAATTACCTGCAGGTGTTCTTCAGGGACTATAACTGGCCCACACTTGGTATGTTCTGCACAGGCTTCTCGACAATATCTGTGAGGATCATCCTTCTTCCTTAAATACTGGTTTGTTACACACTGTCTTTAATTAAATCATAATCACATATTTGTGAGTGAGATGAATGCACATAACAGTCCCACACAAAACAATATCCTAATTATAAAATATATTAAGCATTGTTAAAATGTTAAGATGCTTATTAAAATTGAGCTTTGAGATAAAAAATAATATGCTGACATACAGAATGCATTGGAAAAATAAATCTCACTGATTCTCCCAATTAAAAATGCTGAAAAATATACATACCTACTTAACAGGACAGTAGCCATAGGTTTCCGAACTTGAAATGTCTTCTCTAAATAAGAAATAGCTTGTGGGAAAAGCTTGTTCTAAACAAAAGAAAAATAAAACAACGAAAAAGGATTTGACACTTTAAAAAATTCCTTCTAAAGATTTAAGTCAAAACTCTAATGACCATGTAATCATATTTTCACAGCCATGAACTCAATGTAATGTTAGCTTTATTTAAAAAGATATAGTAATCCTTTGCCAATTGCGAGTTCCATTCTTGAAAACTATCATAGTTGGATAATTTGTGGTTAATAAACTTAAGATCTAGGGAGGGGAAACAATTCCACCTGATACAAGACCTCAAAGATATTGTGTCAAACCTATAATAAAGTAAAATAGTAACATCAGAAAATGAGAACGAATTTTAAAAAGAAACAGTTCAGAAAAGCATACTATATAATTTAGAATACTGGCACTTCTGAAAAGATTATTACCTTTACTGATGTATCTTTTTTATGCTGAATCTACTAATGGAGGTTGAGATACAAATTCTGGTGTTGAAATAAAAGTTTTGAAGAATGAATAGCTGCCTACCTACTTTTGTTCATCAGTCGAACTAGCTGCATGCTGCAAATATGTAAGGGCTGAAACTGATGAGGTGGGGATTCACTTCTTTAATCTGGCAGGTAACTTGTTATCTCTGGGATAGAAACAAATTAATCCTAACATATTGTGACTTTTGCTAAATCTGGACTTAAACAAAATGGAATTTGCATAAAGGAGGTGTAAAGAAAGGAAATGAGAAAATGTGAGCCTGTACCTTATTGTTGACATGTTAATCATGATTAGGGAAATATTATTTGTATGCTTTATTAGTATGACCTAATCCATGCATTGTTTTAAATCAAAAGCAAAGAAACAACATTAGGGTTTAGCATTATGGGTGAATTATATCTGCCATAATTTCCTAGAACAATTATAGATGTTAGGCAACTTAGAATGCAACCTTCAAAGTATACATCACACAGATCTTTAGGATAAAATAATTAAACCAGTATTTCATGTAAGAAAATAGAATGCAAAAATTAAATAATTTACCTTTATAAGATGTTTTTTTTCAGGGAGCAATCTATGAACAGAGAGAGCAGTTAGTAGACATTTTTTAATCTTCATAAAGCACTGTTACTACACAAATTACAAATTACTTCACTTCTTCCCTTGGCTACTAGTTACCATTTGTTTTAGCTACTTGTACAGATAGGGAAATTGAAAGCTATTCCTGTTAACAATAATAATTCTGGAATTATTATACTTACTCTTCAACACTTCTGTCATATATAGTCTTAATTCTTAGGTGTTCATTAATGTTTCTTTTCATAACTCGACTTTCTTTAAGATAAACTTTGTAAATAACCTGTTTGGAGAAGAAGTGCATTTAATAAAAATGCTTAATAAGTCTTAAAATCTATCATGTTTACATCTGAATTGAAGCATACATACAATATGTTCAGTTCCTAATAACCTCTATGACCCTTATTCCTCAATAACATTTGAGGAATATAGAAAGGAAGGTAAGCATATTTATTCTGATAGATTGTATTTTTTTGTATTTTATTATTTGGTTGCACAGCCTTGTATTATTTCTATTTTCTATTATTCACCACAAGTAGTTTCTGAAATAGAACCATGAACTAATTTCAAGTGATTTTCACTTTTACAATTTTCAAATTACTTGCCAAGTTTCTAAAACGCATCCTTGCATTTTCAAAATATTTTTCCTCTGAAAAGCCTGCAAAATCTACAGAAAAATAGCCTGACCAATAAAGCATACTGATGACTTTAATAAATAAATATAAATAAATAAACTTTAATAAAGCATACTGGTGACTCCAACAATGAAAACTACTTAGGTAAGATGTAAAGGGGGCTAACTTCTAGGAGTTAAATCAGTTTGGGATTATTATTTCAATAAGCAATTGCTCCAAGGACCGCGTTGGTTTTAGAATAAACCGTTTGAAAATACCGTTTTAGCCTTTTCTTTCGCAGCCCATATGTAGCACCAACCCAGAAACGCCGTTTTGAAATGTGGCTGTACTTCTATTAGTGACCTCCCCCCCACCCCGAGATTTGGCTCAATAATCTGTTTAATTAACTAAATCACAGATACGATGAGAGCAACTCCGAACACTTAAACGAGCAAGCGAAAAAAACCCACATAGAATGGAATGTATGGTTTAAGCCCCGCAGTTCAGTCCATCTTTTCCCTTGTTTGGAATCTCTTGCCTCCCCTTAATTCCCCTAGGATCCTCACCTCCCTGGCTCTGGGGATGTGGTGGTGACAGAAAGGAGAGGCGATGTTAAAGGCCGGGGCTTGAGCCAGCAAAAGCAGCTCAGCCAAAAGAAGGACAGCCGAGAAAGGGCTGGAAAAATGGAAAACTTCCCGAACCGCCGAAGCGGTCGCCATCTTGGCCTCCTTCTTCCCGAGTCCCCGTATCACCAAGGTGTCGGAGCCGGAGCGAAAGCGTGCCGCTCCTGACAGCCAATAAGAAATCACGGAATCATGGTAGAATGAATGCCATTGGTCCCACCTCGGCACAGAGGGGCGGAGATAGAAGGGAGCCTGGGCCTCTAGGGTGCGCGAAGAAAGACCAAGGTTAAGAGCCTCGTCACGCGCACTCCTGCTGTCTACAAACTGCTGGCGGTTCGATTGAAGGGCGCTGAATGGGACAGGCAGAGATCCCGCAATAGCAAATCCAGCACAGGAGACTTATTTAATACCGATAGGACACCATCGCTCATTGTTTAGGATCCTTACGGTACCTTTGGATTTTCTAACCTTCCAATAAATTCGATTCTGCGCCTGCTGAATGTTAAAGAATAAAGCCTCCCGTCTTGCAGACGGGATACTCCTCCGAAGCAACTTTTTGGAATCTAACGCCAAGCGCTACCTTTACACTTTCGTATTATGGACTTCTTTTAGATGCTTTCCTAAATAAGTTTTGCAGAGCATTATTTCAGTTTTAATGAGATGGTATCTCTTTGTATTTTCACAACCCATCCAGAAACATCTCTATTTTGTTTGTTTATTTATTTATTTTGTCATTCATGTACAAGATAACGTCTAAGAATAAACATGAATAAGAACACAGGAAATGAGTACAAATAAATGGGGACAGTAGGATAGGGATGGTAGGCATGCTGGTACGCTTATGCACGTCCCTTACAGACCTCTTAGGAATGGGCTGAGGTCAACAATAGACAGTTTAAGGTTGAAGTTATGGGGGTTTGAGTATGTAACAACAGAGTCAGGTAGTGCATTCCAGCCATTGACCACTCTGTTGCTGAATCTCTGCAATCAAAAGTAGGAAAGTTTTTTTTTTAAAGGAAGCTATAGCAATAGCAATAGCAGTTAGACTTATATACCGCTTCATAGGGCTTTCAGCCCTCTCTAAGCGTTTTACAGAGTCAGCATATCGCCCCCAACAATCCGGATCCTCATTTTACCCACCTCGGAAGGTTCTGATTCAAACAATAGATGTTTGAAGTGATATTTATTAATTGAGCCTAAGTTTGCCCTTCTTATACTATCATCAAAATCTTTTTAAAAAATGCCAAGGTAGGGGGGGGACCACTCCTTTAACTCATAACTGGGGCAGTCTAGATTGCCATACCTGGGATATGAGTACACTTGAGAGGTCAGTTCCACCTAGAGAAGTTAAAAGGTAAGGTGGACCCTCATTTAATAACCACTCCTTCAGCAACCAAACTACAATGACACTGAGCAAGTGGTAGTTATAATCAGTCCTCGCATCATGGCCATTACAACATTCCATGCAGTTACAATGATTAAGATCTGTAATCTTCCCTACCACTTTCTGATAAGCAAAGTAATGGGAAGTTGGTAGGAAGTTATGTGAGGTCCTCTCCTAATAGAACTGCTGTTGCTATGCAGGGCAGTGATGTAGTTTCTCACCACAGACCTTCCTGTACAAATTAGTGTGATTAAATGAAGATTAACTGTACCTCAGAGCCAAAGGACATTTTTTTTTTAGTATTTAGTATTTTATTGTCACTTATAGACCACCCTTTTCCCTGAGGGGACTCAGGGC